AATTTTCACGTTATAAAACGATTTATAACAAACATGAAGAAGCTAATTGATAATAATACAATAATAGTAGAAGACTTTAACACCCCACTTAAATCAATGGACAGACCATCGAAGCACAAAATCAGCAAGAAAATAATGGCTTTGAATGACACACTGTACCAGATGGACTTAACAGATAAACTCAGAACATTTCAACCTAAAACAACATAATACACATTTCATCTAGTGCACGTGGGACATTCTCTAGAAAAGATCACATACTGGGTCACAAGTCAAGCCTCAACAAGTACAAAAAGACTGATAACATACCATGCATCTTTTCTGACCACAACACTATGAAACTTGAAGTCAACCACAAGAAGAAATTTGCAAAGAGCGCAAATACATGGAGGTTAAACAACATGCTACTAAATGATGAATGGTTCAGCCAGGAAATGAAAGAAAAAAATGTTTTTAAATACATCAAAACAAATAAAAATAAAAATATAATGGTCCAGAACCTTTGGAATGTAGCAAAACCAGTCCTAAGAGCAAAGTATGTAGCCATACAGGTCTACATCAAGAAACAAGACAAAGCTCAAATAAACAACCTAACCTTACACCTAAAGAAGGTGGGAAAAAAACAACAAACAAAGCCTAAATCCAATAGAACAAGGGAAATAATAAAGATTAGAACAGAAGTAAATGATAACATAAACTAAAACAAAGGAAGCACAGATCAATGAAACCAGGGCTGATTCTTTGAAAAAATTAATAACATTGATAAACTTTTAGCCAGACTTATCGAAAAGAAAAGAGAAAATAGCCAAATAAATAAACCCCAATCAGAGAAGAGAAATAACAATCCAAACTATTCCAAAAAATTAAAATAGAAGGAAAACTTCCAAACTCAATGAGGACAGCATTACCCTGATTCCAAAACCAAACACTCCACTTAAGAAGAACACTATAGGCCAGTATTCCTGATGAACATGAATGCAAAAATTCTCAAAAAGTGCTAACAAATAGAATCCAACAATACATTTACTAAAATTATTCACCACAATCAAGTGGGATTTATTCCTGGGCTGAAAGAGTGGTTCAATATTCACAAATACATCAATGTACAAATACCACATTAATAGAAGAATAAAAACCATATAAACCTCTCAATAGATGCAGAAAAAGCAGTTGATAAAGTACAATGTCTATTCATGATGAAAACCCTTAATAAAGTGAGTTTAGAGGAAATATACCTCAATGTAATAAAGGCCATATATGAAAAACCCACAGCTAATATTACTCTCAATGGGGAACAACTAAGAGCTTTTCCTCTACAGTCAGGAATAAGACAGAGCTTTCCACTGTCACCCCTGTTATTTAATATAGTACTGAGGTCCTGTCCTCCCCTGCATACTTGCACACAAGCACACATACTCTTCCTCTCAAAAGAAAAAAAAAATGTATGTAGAAATGCAAAAACCAAGGGAAAAACCTAGTTACTCTTTAAAAAGAGCAAGTGGGAAAACTTGTTCTTTTAGATATTGAAGTTCATAAGGAAGCTGTAATAAATTGAGACAGTGTAGTATTACTGCATGGATAGAAAAATATACCAATGGAGCAGGGTTAGTACCTAGACACAGGCCCAGCAGGGGAGGGAGGAAAAACCTGGGCTTTTTAATAAATGGTGCTAAAACAATTAAGTATCCATGCAGGAAAAACTAGATTTGACTCCTAACTTACACCTACAGCAAAAAGTCCACTTAAAAAGGACTTAAGGATTTATTATTTTTTAATGCTTTTTTAAAAATTCATTTCTGAGAGAGAGAGAGAGAGAGAGAGAGAGAGAAAGAGACAGTGTGAGCAGGGGAGGATCAGAGAGAGAACGAGACACAGAATCTGGAGCAGGCTCCAGGCTCTGAGCTAGCTGTTAGCACAGAGCCCAACATGGGGCCGGAACCCACAGACTGTGAGATCATGACCTGAGCTGAAGTCAGACACTGAGCCACCCAGGTGCCCAGGAAGGATTTCTTAAACAAGACAAATTTTATTCAAATAAATATGCTATAAGAGTAAGAAAGAACACCCGCAAAGTGAGAGAAGATATTTGTAACATATAACCGCAAAAAAATACCTCTTATATAGAATATGTTTTTAAACTGTATTAATCAGTAAGAAAAAGACAACTGACCCAAGTAAAAATAAACTCAAATAGATACTTGACAAAGAGAAAATCCTAATGGCCAATAAATATATAAAAATCTTCCTCACTGCATTCTAAAAAAGAAATGAAAACTGAAACCATAATGAGATAGCATCATACACCCAACAGACTGAGGAAATATTTAAAGTCTTATGACTAATTACCTACTTGTGGGAGAATAAATTAGTTCGACACTTCAGAAAATAGTTTGAACATCTGAAGACATCAATATTTTATCACACAGCAAACCCTACTGCTGGGTAATAAACGTGTATTGCACCACTGTGCATGTAGAAAGATGGTGACAGCACCATTGCTCATAATAGCCCAAAATACAAATCAAATGTCTGTCAACAATTAGTGAATAAATTGATGTATATTTTAAAATGGAATATCACATAGCCATAAAAATAAACAAACTAACAGCTACATGCCACAAAACACATGAATCCTACAATCGTCATGTGGGGATATACAGAAGCTAATGGTAGGATATACCTAGTCATCGTTCCCCAGAGCAAAGGCTAAGAGAGGGACATGGAGGAGCAGAGGAGGAGAAAGAAGAAACAGAAGCCACAATCAAACCTAATCACAAAATTGGCACCCCATTGTCTGTCCTGGATTCTATTGGTCTGAGGCAAGTCAACAAGGTCAGCCCACCCTGAAGAGAAGAACATGAAGGGAGGCAGTGACAGCCAGAAGGAAGAGGGATCTTGTGACCACAAAGTGAAAAAGAGACAAAGGAGGCTTCAGGGATATTGGTAATATTGTATTTCTTCATATGTCCGAAATTGTATGTGTGTGTATAAAACTCTCCAGTGTTTTCAGGGCCCCAAAATGAAAAAAATAGAAAATACTTAGGTACAGAAAAAGATGTACAGAAAATAGAATCCGATTCTTGATTTAAATAACAGAAAACATTTTAAACATCTTTGTACCTAAAACCATTACTTAATCAATTAAAAGGAGAAAATTGGCAATAAGAATAATGCACTGCACAATGGTTCCAGAATTCCTTAATCTATATGGGCTTTACATAAATCAATCACCAAAAAAATATTAAAATTGAAAAACAGGCAAAGAGGGGGCCTGAGTGGTTCAGTCGGTTAAGCATCTGACTCTTGATTTCAGCTCAGGTCATGATCTCACAGTTTGTGGGATTGAGCCCCGCCTTGTGCTCTGTGCTAACAGTGCAGAGCCTGCTGGGGATTCCCTCTCTCCCTCTCTCTCTGCCCCTCCCCTGCTTGTGCCTTCTAAACAAACAAACAAACAAACAAACTTTTAAAAAAGGATGAAAGTTAAAATAGAAACAAACCATGTTTGCTTCTTACATTAACAATGTTTTGAAGGACAGCCTGCACTGATGCAGGACCTGTGATCAAAGCTCTCACACCGTCTATTAGGGTGATATCTGTCAGTTGGATGATACGTCAAGATTTTTCAAATTCAAGTTGCATGGCCCTATCCTTGAACATTACTTATTTTAAGATTTAAGTAGGGGCGCCTGGGTGGCTTAGTCGGTTAAGGGTCCGACTTTCACTTAGGTCATGATCTCGCGGTTCGTGGGTTCGAGCCCACGTCGGGCTCTGTGCTGACTGCCAGCTCAGAGCCTGGAGCCTGTTTCAGTCTGTGACTCCCTCTCTCTCTGACCCTCCCCTGCTCACGCTGTCTCCCTCTCTCTCTCCTAGAAATAAATAAAACATTAAAAAAAAGATGTAACTGGTATAACTGTATTATAATTTGAAAATTACAGAATAAAAATGGATTTCCTGCAATCCTGTCATGAGGTACCACTCAACGGTACCATTCTGATCATTTCCTTGCAAGATTTTTTGAAATGAGTGTTTGTACCTAACTGTAATAACAGTGTATTTAGTTGTGATTTTCAATTAATAGTATGTAAAGTGAGTAAATTTTTTCATGTTGCCATTATTTTATGTCACAAAATGCTTAGAATAAAAATAACATCATGGTTTAATTATTGTTCCATTTTGAACATTTGTTTCCATAAATTTTGCTCTTTCCAATGTTTCATAAACACCCTCTGATAACATTTTCCCCTGTAGTAGGTGATTTCTTAGATAGAATTCCTGAAATAATGTAAATTAATAGTGCTTTCTCAATGCTTAATAAAGTCAAATTAATTTCCAAATGTTTATGTGATTTTGTAAAGTCACCAAGGAAGCAAGAGAGTGAATTTAAGTCCATTTTGACAACCATGGGTATTATTACTTAATATGGTCGTTTTCTAATTTAGTGTTGCAAAAACAGTTCTTTTTACCCAGGCTTCTGACAAACTTCCAAAGAGGCAAACCTGAGTTTAGCCACGCTACCCGCAGTTAACACTCCGGAGCCGGCTTCAAATTGTCTGACACAAGAAAAATTAGAAACAGAATGTGCTGATGTAGGTAAGAAGCATTATCTGAAGAAATCATACAGGTAAAAAGATTTGCTGGGATTTATTAAATGACATATGGTATGGGCTTTCAGAGAAAGGAGAAACCCACCTCAGAATGAGAGAAACTAATGGGACCTGCCTAACAGGAAAGCAATTAAAAATCACTTGGTGATGGAAAAAGGCGATCACAGAAACCACAGTGCAGAAATACATGACTGGAGGACCGAAGTTGATTAGGACTAATGAAGACACTCATATCTGCATTGAGATAAATAATCCCTCATTAAAGACAGCAAGGTGTTAATGTCTTTTATACAATTAAAGGGGGAAAAAGCGCACTAACAATTACCATAAGAGCTTTCATTGCTCGAAATGAACCATTAATATAAATGAATCAAAGACAGGATTGGAGACCTTTAGTAACATGTTAATATTACTGTTGTATATTTTAGGAAGCCGTTGTGTCCCACTGAGAAGTTACACAGCAGTTCTCAAATTTCTGATTGACACTGGCCTCTGACACGACCAGGGCACCTCACTGAGGGTCACAGCTCCATTTCTCATCTTGACACCACTGAGATTCGGACCTTTCCCGGAGTGGGATGCGGCTCTGTGCTTACTCGACGTTGTTCGCATCATGGCACACGCAGAGAACAATGCCCTTTGTTCAGCTCTTTGGGCAGATTCAATGACAGATATGAAACTCTGTAAGAAAAACAATCTGCAATAAATATAGAAGTGTGTGTTTTTGAATGAGTGTTTTCATTCTCTTTGGGTAAGTACCCAGTAATGGAGTTTCTGGATCATACGGTAATGCTATTTTTAGTTTCCCCAAAATCTTAAAAATAAAAATTACTATATGATTCAGTAACTCCACTACTGGATATTTACTAGTTCAAAAACATATATACCCCATGTTTATTGTAGCATTATCTACAGTTGCAAAGATATGGAAGCAATCCAAGTATTTATTGATAGGTGAATGGATAAAAAAAGTGAAATATGTATATAATATATATATTATATATATATATAATGGAATGTTATTCAGCTTTTAAAAAGATCTTTCAAGTTGTGGCAACAAGGAGGAATCTATTGGATATCATACTAAGTGAATTAAGTCAAACAGAGAAACACAAATACCATATGATTTCACTTATATGTGGAATCTAAAAAAAACCCAGAATAAATGGACAATCAGAGACAAACCCATAAACACAGAGAACAAACTGATGGTTGCCAGAGGGGAGGGAAGGAGGGGGCTGGGCAAAATGGGTGAAGGGAACTGGTAGATACAGGCTTCCAGGTGTGAAATGAATAAGTCATGAGGAGAAAAGTGCATCAGAGGGGACACAGTCAATAGTATGGTAATAGTGTTGTATGGTGACTGATGGTACCTATCCTTGTGGGGAGTGTAGCATAACATACTGAGCTGTTGAATCACCATGTTGTACACCTGAAACTAATGTATGTCAACTACACTTCAACAATACATATGTATATATGTGTATATATATGTAATTGCCATACTTTATATAATGATAAGAAAAAATAAAACTTTCCCATAAAATTTGTTCTATTTCTTAATTCAATATTTGAACTTGATTTTACCATCAGATTTTTACTTGAAATAACCACATGCAACCTTTAATAGGAGCTTTTGACAGTGCTGTCTTCATTTGATAGTCATCACCAAGGGGAAACCTTCACAAGTTGGTGATAAAACAAATCTAAAATTACTTGTACAACCTTTCAATGACTTATAACATTTGAAATGATCTTTAAAGGATCTAATGTCCTTTTCTTTTATCAATACACGTGATATAGACTTTCTTAGGATATTGCTAATGGATTAGCTTTTGAAGGTGATAAAATGATTTACACCAAGTACTCCAAAATTATAATAAAGCCCAACTTGCATAAGTCACATCCTATGAATAGTTTGGGTGACACTAAATGGCTATAAATGAACAGTAATATCTCTGCATTCAAGGCTGAATCTCTGTGAGGATGTAGCCACCGGGAGGTCCCGCCAAGATTCCTTCCTCTCACCCGGACACGTCATACCTTGTACCACACACACCTTCCCAGGCACCTGGAAAAGAACTTTCCCAATAGCTGCCCCCTTGTCCACGTGTCCATTGGTGTCCTGGGCAGCTCCCATGCCCAGGTGGCGGAGCTTCTCATTGACCACCCTCAGCGTGGGATGGTAGACAATGAGCATCAGACATCATTCATCATGTCACCATCTAGTGACGGAACAGATTATCATCAGGAGCACCTGGTTGGCTCAGCTGGTTAAGTGTGCGACTTTGGCTCAGGTCATGATCTCAGAGTTTGTGAGCTGGAGCATAGGTTGTCTGCTGTCAGCACAGAGCCCGCTTCAGATCCTCTATCCCCTCTCTCTTCCCCTCCCCAACTAGCACACTCTCTTGCAAAAATAAATAAGCATTAAAAGAGAAAGAAGGTAGAATGGCTTCTCATCAGACTCTGCTGTATTTGGATCATCCTCCAGAGAATCCAAGAATAAGCCACACATAGCAAGAGATAAACAAGCCAAGAGTTCCCATCACCTTGGCAGGTAGAAAACCAATTTCTCAAGGAAAATCTAAATTTGTTTATGAAACAGTGGTTGGGAAATGTCTGAAAATATAAAGGGACTGATTCTGTGGTTAAACAGAGGACCCATCTCAGCTCTGCCATGTGTGAACTTTGAGACTTTAGAGAAGCCACCTAATCTCTGAATCCACGCTGCTATCTGTATAAGGTAAGAGAATGGCATAGAGCAGGGAGCTAGGAAGACAGAGTAGGGAGGAGACAGAGTGAGGAAGGATATGTTGGAAAATTAAATTCTGGTTTAAGTTTCCATCACGTAAGTAGAGCTAGCTATTGTATCTAGAGATGTAGGATTTATTCATTTTACACATATTTATATTATCAGGCAAAAAACAAAACAAAGCAAAGCAAAACAAAACAAAACAAACACCCTGTCTTTGTGGGACCTTAAATTGGCACAGATTACAACCCAAAAAGTAAATAAGTGAATTACAGAGCACAGTGTAAGTACAAAGGAAAATTAACCAATGAAGAGAAATAGAGCACAGGATGGGAAAGGGCACTGACAAACAGAAAGACAGAGATCCCGGAAGGCCTTACAGGTAAACTACAACTAGGATGCGATCAGGGAACAAGTCACATGGAAATTTGGGAAAGAAGATTCCAGAAAGAAGAATTATAAGCCGGAAGGCTTTGCAGGGAGCTTGCCTGCGTGTGTTCAGGAGCTCCTGATGGAGGAAGCTGGAAGGAACCAGGGCAGCGGAAGATGATGTCAGAGACAACAGGGCCCCCAGAAGGCCTAGCTGAGCTTTAAAACGTAGGAGATTGGCTGAAAGCACCAGGATAGAAGGTGCAGAGAGAGAAGAAATGAGGACTGAAGACTGAACCATAAGGCATTTTAATATTAAGGGGTAGAGGAAACAGGAAGAGCAAGCAAGAGAGAGTGAGAAGGAGCAAGAGTGAAATCAAAGAGTAATATCCTGGAAACGAACACAGAAATAAAATATTCCAGTAAAGTGGACTGATTCTTGAAATTCTGCTGCTAGATAAAGTAAAATGAGATTTGAGAATGTTCATTGCACTCAGCATCATGGCGATCTTTTTTTTATCATAAAAGTAGCAATTTAAAATGAGTTCAAGAAATAATGGCATGAAAAAAAATCAGAAACAATGCATATAGACAGCCCCTTATCAAGACAACAAAGTGCAGGGGAGCGCCTGGGTGGCCCAGCTGTTTGAGCCTCCAACTCTTGATTTCAGCTCAGGTCATGATCTCATAGTTCACAGCGTGAAGCCTGCTTGGGATTCTCTCTTTCTGTGCCCCTCCTCTGCTCCCTCTATCTCTCAATAAATAAATAAATAAATAAATAAATAAATAAATAAATAAACTTTAAAAAGAGAGAGGGAGCAAAGTGGAACAAAGAGCAACAGCCTGAGAAGTTGGATCAAGAGAGTTTTTTTTAATGGAACATGAAGCACGTGTGAAAGTTAATAAAATTGATGAAACAAAAACTGCTGTTCTAAGAGAGCAGGAGAGCCGACCACTCGGGAGCCTGTGTAGATGGGAAGAGTGGGGTCTGGAGTGCAAGGGCTGGGATGGTGTTGGTTAAGGGTGGGTGCTCCTCACCCCCAGAACAGCCAGAGAGGCCACGTAAGCATGTGCAATATGACAGGCAGGGCGAGGTAGTGGCAGGCGCTTGATGGGCTTCTCCCTCTTTCCCCAGAGATAGGAAAGAACCGTTGCTGAGAGTGGGAACAGGAGGTCTAGGGGAAAAGGCTAAGATACAGAAAAAAAAAAATCATGTGGCGGTTACCAGACTAGGGAAATGGGGTGGGATTTTTGGACAGTGCACCGGTCCATGGGACGTAAAGTGAGATCAATCGGCAGGTCAACACGATCTGAGATTTTGTACTTGTGTTTGTTTTACATCCGCATTCTATCGCATGGGTTCAGGTGTGAACAGAGGAAGGTCACACTCCACCAGGTTTGGGATTTGCCAAAGATGTGGCAGGAAGTAAGGGAGGGGTGTGGCCCCTGGGGACTCAGTCAGTTCAGCCTCTCACTCTCAGTTTCAGCTCAGGTAAGCATCTCTCCGTTGATGAGATGGAGCCCCTTGATGGGCTCTGCGCTGACGGTGTGGAGCCTGCTGGGAATTCTCCCTCTCTCCCTCTCTCTTTCTCTGCCCCTCAAAATAAATAAATAAACATTTTTTAAAAAAGGAATAGGGGAGAGGTATGGGAGTCAGGGGTATAAGGAAGGAAGGGATTATGGTATTGGGTCACTAAATGTAAGTTTGATAAGGCAGGACGTGAAAATATGGCAGGATGGATAGATAATATGTTCTACTGGGAGTCACAGGATTCCCGGAGTCCAGATACCATAGACAGTGAGTGGAAGATAGGAGGTGATGGTCAGAAAGTGAACCATGTGAAATTGAGACTTGTGAGTTTCTGTTTCTTAGTCATGACATCTGTATAGGCCCAGGAACAAACTTGAGAGGAAGATATAATGCTGAAATTCAAGGATTAGGGAGGGAGCAGAAGTATTGGAAGACTTTTATTCCTAAGATTGTTGCACATTTATACATTTAATCCCTACGATTTCTTTATGTGTGAGAAGAGTGGGACTAACTTAACTCTAAATAGACATTAGGATTGCCAGAGGAGCCTTTAGAGAATAGAGATGCTGGTACCACACTAGAAAGATTGAATTAGAATATGTGAGGCGAAGGATGTTTGTTTGAGAGTTTAAAAGAGAAGTATAAAATGTGTTTAAAATGCAAATTCATGCAGTCCAAGACTAGAAAAAGAGTAACAAAACAATCTCCTTCTCCCCCAGTCTCCCACACTGCCCAACACATGATGTGAGTGCTCTGATACTTTGGAATGAATCAACGAAGTAATACAGACTTTATGCTTTCCTTGCCAGTGCTTCTCAAAGTTGAATGTGCACATGAGTCACCTGAGATGCTTGTTAAGATGGAAATTCTGACTTAGCCAGTCTTGACTTTGGCTGAGTTTCTCCACTTCACAGGATGCCAGGCTGCTGATACAGAGAGGACCCTCTGACTAGCACAGTGGTGAGAGATCTTTTTGGGTCACTGGATGTGCATTGCTGAAAGTGGATGCCAGGCCAAGAGGGTGAGTTAACTTTTGACTTGTCAGAAGGTAGTAAGGTCTAATGCATACCACGGAGCAATACATGATGCTGCCAAGCTTAACCCCAACCCTCACCAGGACATTCATGGGTGAGGCTGCTTTTACTTCCCACCTGTGTCACTTGTGTTTCCACTGGCCCTAAATCAAATTTGGCCTCACTTGTAACCCAGTCCCTGACTCCACCCCTCCCCAGTTTCTCTGCCCCACACACTCCTCCCTCTTTCCCCACCTCCCTTCTGCTGTAGGGCAGAGGCACAGGAAAAAAGAAAACAGTGATGGAACAGTTGTGGAATGACTCACAAGATCACTGCTTGCATCTGAGGAACATCTGGGGTCACACATAAAGCAAAATGGACTGGCAAAACCTGAACCTACAAAAATACCTTTCTGTAGTGTTTGTGCCCCAAATGCATCACCTGAATGTAATCATAGGAAATCATCAGACGAAACTGAAATGAAAGTCAACACTTGGCCTTCAAAAATGTCAAGGCCACACACACACACACACACACACACATACACACACGAAAAATGTAAGGAACTGTAAGAATGAAGGAGAATAAAATGAGATCATAGCTAAGTGAAACATGAAATCCTAGGCTGAATCCTGTTCCTGAATAGAAAAGGTGATTGGATCAACTCAATTTGAATGAGGTCTGTGCGTTGAATGGTAACCATATATAAGTGTTGATTTCCTGCTTTTGATGGATATATTCCGGTTATGGAGAACAACGCCTTTGTTTTTAGGGTAATGGGTATCATGTCTGCAATTTACTCTCAAATGATTCAGAAAAATATGAAATAATGTGTGTGTGGTGTGTAGTGTGTAGAGAGAGAGAGTATGTAAAAGGTATACAGAAATCCTTTGTATTCTTCTTTCAACATTTCTGTACATTTGAAATTACTTGAAAGTAAAACTTTAAAGAAACAAAAACTGATTTTCTAATATCTTTTCTCTTTTTTCCAGTTTTATTGAGAAATAATTTATATAAATTACTGTGTAAGGTTTAAGATGTCTAACATGATGATTTGATTTACATATAATGTGAAATGATGACCAGAGTAGGTTTAGTTAGCATCCATCATCTTTCATAGATACAATAAAAAGGAAAGAAAAAGAAAAATCCTCCTTGTGATGAGAATTCTTGGGATCTGCCCTCTTAACAACTTTCCTACATATGATAGAACAGTGTTAGCTATATACGTCATGTTGATACTTTACATCTGTAGTACTAATTTATCTATGATTGGAAGTTTGTGCATTTTGACCACCTTCCACCAATTCCCCCTTCCTCAACACCCTGCCTCTGGTAACCACAAACCTAAACTCTTTTTCTATGAGTTGGGTGGGTGTTTTGTTTGAGATTCCACCTGGACGTGAGATGATACAGTAGTTGTCTTTCTCCGATGGATATCACTTAGTATAATGCCCTTCAGGTCCATCTGTGTT